TTCTTTTAAAGCCAAAAGCAATTATATTCCTCTTAGATGGCTAAGATGTCTAATTTTATGTTGTATTAATGAAATTTTGTTTTTTGACGAATGAGAAAATATTTTTTTTCCATTAAATTTAAAACATATTTTACATTATTTCTAATATTACTTTTATCATTATATCTTACGGTGTTAGTGTAGGRATAATATAAATTTCAACACTGTATGATCTTTTGTAGTACAACAACTACGTGGTGTTGAACATATTAAATAGACAATATCTATAGCTATAGATAGTCTAACAGTTGTAATGTTTGTCGACACCACTGCATTGGTCTGTAATATATTATATACTACAGCTGAAACTATATATTATTATATGATGTAGGTATACTAAGGAAAAAGATGAAATGTACATAAAATTACTCGTTGTGGATTTTTCGAAAAAAAGATAACAATTTTATTGATAAAATAATCTTATAAAATAATCTTAAAAACTACGTTTGTTGCCGGCCGATTGGATAGTCGATATCAGAAAATCGTGTTCAGTAGTGATAAAATGGGTAGGTATGCTTGTAAGTTGGGTAGTAAGCCTTTGTTGACTCGTATTTGAACGGCCAGTAACTCGAGTAAGCTGTTTGGTATGCTGCAGCCGGGTACGAGTACGGGTAACGGTTGTATGCTGAGTACGAGTACGGGTAAGCCGAGTACGTGCTGTACGGGTAAGCCGAGTACGTGCTGTACGGGTAAGCCGAGTACGTGCTGTACGGGTAAGCCGAGTAAGCGCTGTACGGGTATACTGAAGAGGAATAGGCCAAAGCTAAGAATAACAAAAAAAATTGTTCTTAAAAACGACCGATATATGATTTAAATTCAAATTTTCAACAGATGTCCGACAAACAGCGATAATACAACACTGACGGACTTCTGTAATAATTATGAAATTTTATTATACTTACGCGAACCGCCGATGTAAGCGTATTTCTTTACTCTGGAAGCTTCAGCGACCATTTGTTCTTCGGGTTTTGGCGCTTCTTCGGCGACAGCGGAGTACACGCTGAGGGCGACCATGGCGACGAATATCTGTGTGAAAAAAAAAAATGTTAAAATTAAAACCGATCGATATTGACACGATGATCTAAAAATCATATTATAATATCTTATTATATTATACATTATAATAGTCTTTAACGGTTTTAAATTGACCCATTTGCAGAGTACCCACATAATATGGTATGGCTGCAGCGCAGAATCGCGGCGAAATTTTCGTGGAGATCCATTTTGGGGACGAGCTCTCACGAACGGAAAAATAATGGATTTGGGAAATTAATTCCGAGAGTTTCCTTTGCGACTAGATTTACGAAAACGTGTCTCGCCAGGCACGTATCGTAATACCATATTATGTATTATATATAGGTAACTGCAAACCGCAAAATTCGTCTACTGTCGTTTTAGCTTAACCATATTATACTCGTATGTATACACGTTCGCGGTTCAGAGTTTTATTATATTATTTTAGGTGCCAATAGAAAAGTTTTCTGAATTTTCCATTCAAGGTTTTCGGTATAATATATATATATATTATAATGAGTAGATATAGGTGTTTACGTCCACGATCGTAATAATAATAATTGTATATGATTGCCGAGTGAACTTTATATTCTACATAGTACCCTTAGATAGAATATGTTATTATTATTCCTAATTAACACCATATTAATGAATGGAAATTCTGTTAATAGTTAATACTGTAATTGATTTTCGTCTTTAATAAAATATATATACATATATTCTTACCTATTATTATTATTATTTTATTTTATTTTGCTTCTACATAAAAGTTCAGTGTATAACCGATTTCATWTTAATTGTTTTGTAATATTTCTATCTTCTAACTATTGTATGCTAATAATTGTACTTTAAACTTGGACCGTGACCGAAAAAAATAATATTGTTCTCAAATGAACACCTATATGGATGTTATCGCAGTGCGATGATTCGATATATAGGTATTGTCCGTAAAAATCAAACGATAAAAATAAATATAAACTTATCGCCGTAGCACATTACAATATTGTTCCAGCGATACCCACAAATACCATCCGACTCGTCAGCTCCGAAAATCTTAGGAATAATACGCAGATATAATAATATACTATATAGGTAGTATATAAAGTTATCGAATTTGACACGCTATTTTCATTTCGATATAAAATATAGACACCGATCGAAGAATCRTGWGACGACAAACGAGACGCGTGGAACGAATATTTTGTATTTTATACATTTATACGAAAACAACTTGCAGGGCTTACGGATTTGAAGAAACGATTTATACGAAGTTTAATTWTGATTTTATTTGAATTCATGAAATAAAAATGTGTTTGACTTACTAAATACTTGAATGAAGCCATTTCTGTTTTCGTGTTTTCTTTTTGCGTCGTCTACGACTGATGTGAAATTTTCAATCCGTGATTGTCGATGTGAACTCGGGATGTGTTGTGATGCCGATGTCGGTCGTTGGGGTCTTTTATACGCTCGAATTTAAAATTAAAATTTAATACATGTGACGTGGGAGGCTGTCTTAGCAACATAAACTATTAAAACTTAACCATACATTTTTTTTTT